CTGGAGCATGCAGATCATTCCTTGTGCAACCCAGGGCTTGCAACCAATGCAGTATGTTTGGCCTCTGAAGTTGTACAACCCCCCTTTTAAGATATTCTAACCTATGGCTAATATAAAAGTAAAAGCCATTATTTTTCTCAGCTTATCTAGATTCATTTTTGCTTTATAGCTGCTTTGCAAAATAAACCAAAACTTAAATCCTTACCTTAAATTTGTCAACTTCTGCCTTTGAACACGTTGCATGGTAAGACAGTACCTGACCCAGAACAAAATGAAAAGAATACATTTTTCTTAGGGAACAAGTAGAAATTATAGGGCTCCTTGATGCTGTCTAATAAATGGCTTTAAAAACACAATTAGGTAACAGTTAGGCATTATCAGTAAGCTTTGAATTAAAAGATAATTAATTGTAGGTTAACAGGTACACACATGGCTTTTACATTATGATTGTCAACTAGGAAACTATGGAGAGTAAGTAATGTAATATTCCATGCGTTTCTGTTCCCCTGAAGTCCTGCAAATTTAAAGAGAAAGAACACAAAACAAAAATCAAAATGGATTTTATATAGTGCCTCCTGTTAAGCTACTGAGTTTCTTATGTGCTTTTCAAAGCTGCAGCACTGCCACCAAGTTAGTTTTTCCAGCCAACAGTTTTCATACTCTTTAGTGTGGCGTTCTGGAGATAGTAATTGTAGGCAAGTATAGAAAGAATGGGTCACACTTTAGACTCATTGTATAAATACTTGTATGCGAACCTGAAGTAAAAGATATGCCTGAAGCAAGGATAAGAGACAAGCAGCAGGCCAGAGGCTGCAGAAACTTTGCCCTGCACCAGAACCAAAGGTTCCACTGTGAATGGGATGGGTATCTTTGGAGCACATTTAGTAGACAGTAGAACTATTTACATTACCAGAGAGAAAGTTTCTTCCTAACCTCACAACCGGTAGCTGATTTATGCTCTGAACCACTGACATTTATTTATATATATATCTCCCTTACTCCAAAATGGTTTTTCTCCTATTTAACCACCTGGGTGTTCTGTTCATGCATATAAATCTCTGATTTTTTTTTAAAAATCACACTATCCTTTGCACCTGAGAAATCTTGTGGACATGAGTTCCAAACACAGTTATGATTTATCAGTAATGCAACTGATTTGGAACTTATTAGTTAATTAGTCAATTAGTCAGTTAGTATTTCTGAGTTTTAAACATCAATGAATATCCCCAGAAAGGGTAAACCCACGTTATCTGTTTTACCTCATTTATTATTTTCCATATTTATGTCTCCCTCTAGCCAATACCATTCTTTCTGCATTATTATTATTCCTATTTAAGAAGCAAGGGATTTTTTGGCAATATCTTTTATTGGACCAACTATATAGTCAAGAGATATCGGAGACAAGCTATTTTGGCACACAGTACCATTCTTTAGGTCTGTGCCCATTTAAGTCTCTCCACATATTTTATTTAAGTATTTCTGTTTACCTACTAATTTCCATTGCCAATCTTCAAATCTCATCTGTTTCTATCTTTTTTCAGAAAAAAATGACCAGAACCCTACACAGAATTCCAGGCAAGGGCACAGCATAAATTCAAAAAATGTCATTTCAGTATTTTTAAGATTTAAAAAAATCTCATTAATTAATATTCTATTGACTTTTGTACCATGTGTATATTTTGAACAGAGCTGTTAATTTAACTGTTCACAATGTTGCCTCAGTTTTCCCCTAATTTTAATCAATTTCAAATACAGCTGCAAAAACAATTAATTCACATTCTTCCTGCTGATGTGTATTAGGTTTCAGTTGTCAGTACTACATTTCTTCTGTCATTGTGCTGCTCATTTATACTTGTTAGGTCCCTCCATTTTCTCACAATTGTCTAGCTTTTATTATTCTAAATCTTTTTTTTAATCATTTCCAAATATTGTCTCCTCACACTTTATTCATGTTCCTCAAGAATTATATTACGTTATAATAATTATATTAAACACCACTTACCTAGTATAGGACCCTAAGGTTAATCTTTTGCCATATTGAAAGTTCATTATTTATTCCCATATATGGCATGGCAGGAGACACAACTGTTGGGACTAGGGATCAGATCCTGTCATGCCATTTAATGAATGTGAGCCAGGGGCTTTAGGTACTGCTAAAAGTGTTCTATATAAGAAGTAGTGCCTGTATATTTGGATGTGAATCTCCTTAGAGTTTACATCAAAATGCCTTACCTCATCTGATATCCAAGTCATTATGTAGGTCTACCTAGATGAGTAAACTAGCAGAGGTACCTGCATTGTTCTGATTTAAGGAAAGGCTGCCTCAACATTAAATTATGATTGCCATTCACTTTCCCATTTCTGACATCTATACCATAAGACAAGTAGTCCCTGTATATCTTCCAAGAAAGTAGTTGTATTTTAATTCTATTGATTAAAAAATGGATTTTCATATCCTATCTAAACTTTGTTTATTTTGCACCTGGCTGCACACTGTATTTGTCATAGCTTGTTTCTCTTCTCATGGAAAAGAATTCAATCCAAGATGCAATTCCATATTAATCAGCCAACTGTATTGCCAATTGCATTGCAAACACCAATTAACTATTCTGACTGCAAATACAGAAGAGGATTTGCACTTTCTTTAAGCTATATACAGTATAAACATAAATGCCAATTATGCATTATGTAAATACAAATGCTGAAATGTGTATGCTTAAATTTAAGAATCCAAATACTGCCATTGCTTTCAAAAGGATTTAAAAGTTAAGCCTATGTTTCAGTGTTTTGCTGAACAGAGACCACAGGGACAAAGAAATATCTCCAGGTTTGCATACAAATTCCAAGCACTCTGTATATGTTTGTTTTCTGATACTGACTTTTACTTCTGTATTCAGACAAACTTCTGCTGTTCTTACTGAGGAATCACATACCTGTAGATGTTGTAATGCTGCATAAAATTAGTGGAGTTACATTTTCAAAAGATGGGTACATTATTCAAATTATTCGAATCATGTTATTAATCATATGTGAAATCCAGGATATTCTTGGAAATTATGTTTCCTTTGACCAAAACTTCTCCAAATTATACTATTATAAGCAGAATGTGCAAGTGCCTATTAAAAAATTTAGTATTAAATGATCACAGACTTCAGAAAGACAGGATACCAGATAGACATTAAGTATTAAACTACAGTTTAAGCAAGGGTTTCTTGTAATTGTATAAAACCAGACTGTAAAGTGTAACAGAATTACAGATTACATGAAATACAAGAAAAATATAATCTTCAGATATATTTGGGGTATTTTTAAATATATGACACATAATAAAAACAATAAACTAAGCCAAAACCTACTCAATGATTTATACTACTTTCTTTTACTAATACATTTCTCACATTTTTTAATAAAACAGTAAGCCTGGGAATTTAAAAAAAAATTTGTTTTGCAGTATAGTCATTAATAGCCTTTTCAACCAGCCATCTTTTTTCAAAACAGCATGTTTTGAATCATGATGATAACTTTAATGAAACTCTCAGGCCTAAAAACTGAGCACCGCTTTAAAGATGCAGGGGTAAGGTTCCTGAATACAACATCATCTACAAAATACAAAGCTCTGTAAAAGCCTCTAATTTATAAGACTATATATTTAAAATATATTCAATGGATAATGATAAAAAATCATTGTTCCCCAGTGAAAAACAAGACTCATTTCATGGCTGTAATACCAATGGTTCCACATTTCAATATGAAGTATACATCATAATTATGCAATATTGTAAGTGTTTTAAAACTGACCGAAAGAGTTTACAGTTCTTTTGAATGCCAGAGAGACTCTAGGCTACCTAAAATTTCATTCATATCCCAGTCCACTTCAGGAGGAGCAAGCTAAGTTTATAAGACAATTTCTAAAGCTCTCTTCTAATTGGGAAAAACATCTTTGAGCAGGCTTTGGTAAACATTTTATGCAATTCCTCTTTCTAGTTATAGAATTTAGAAGAGAATAGTCTTTCAATGTTGTTGAACCATTATAGAGAATTAAGTGGGAATTTATCATTCACAATATATTTTTTAAATTGTGTGTCTCTTTTCACTATCCTGGTCTTTGAGGTCATTTTAGGGTGGGGGGTTCATTTGATTTATGCTATTATAAGCTCTTCATGACTTGGACCACATTCTTTCTCACTGCTATGAATTCTCATTTCAAAATATGGCTGTAGACATACCATATGATTAGGGTTCAATACTTATCTGCTGTGTGTGCCTTGTGAAAATTTACTTAAGCTGAGAACTATGCCCATTACAATTAATATTCCTTGAAGTAAGTCTCTTTGCAATGTTTTTATAAAGGAACAAGAATTTGGAGTGGACAGCAGGGGATCTTTAGAAAATGAGTGACTACAAAGTTTGCTGTGAAAACTTCTGTACTAGAACAGTCCTTCATATACGACAAGAATGGTTTATGGTGAGCAATTGCTTTTATCAAATACTTACATCAAGAGCCACAGATTGTTTTGCCCATGATTTTTTCACCTGGTCATACATTATTGTGTTGTTGATACCCAGGCCACAAAAAATAACAAAAGCCTAACAAGAAGAAAAGAATTAAATTAAATTACCAACACAAAATGAATGCTGATTTAGTTATTTCAAAGAACAGGATGAGAAGCAAACTAGAAACAAATATAAAATTATAGAAATGTATGATAATTGTGTTTATGGCAGAGATATGTTGTTTGAAGGTTGTTGTCTCAGACATGAGAGAAGAAAGATGAGATACCAAGGATGTTGTTTAGTTTGGCTGCAACTTTTAACTTAGCCAGATCCTTCATGCAGAAGGGGTGCCAGTGGTGGTGGCAATGGATGTAGCTACCACAGTGGCAGTGGCTACTGTGCATCATGGGACAAGGGTCTGCACATCAAGTAAGCACTTGCTCTGGTGGAGGCAAGCAAGTGGCAGTGGATCAGGCAAGCAAGGGAGGTGCTGGCAAAGCCCTTCCTCGGCCCCTGGTCACCAGTGGCTACATTTACTAGAGCCTCAGGTCCCTGGATTCTGTGGCAAGCCAAACCCAACCACTAATCATGCCCCCAATTCTCTGAACAACTATAAGTCCAGCAGGCCAGAAAGAATTGTTTGGTGGGCCAGATCTAACCTGCTAGTAATATATTTTACACCCCTGACTTCATGTCTTGAGGAACAACTAGCAATAACACACACAGTTCACATCTTCAGTTGTTTTAACCCGGTGAGGAGTTGCTATCAATCCACTATTCTGCCACAGCTGGGCCCCAGACTACTGTTGATACCCCACTGCCTTCCATTCTTTCAGGGCTAAGGGGCTATTAAGCTATTAAGTGTTAATTTTAATAATATCATTCCTTTCCCCTTTAGCCATAGAGATTTTTTACATGATAATACCCCAATTTGATGGTCTTATTACTGTCATTTTTATACAGCTTCTGACCTAGAAAATGTAGAAAAAAATAATCTAAAAAAAAGATACCAGTGAGGATGTTTAATGATTATCCAATTTAAGTGAAATTACATAAAAGACAATTATAATGCCTTTTCTTATTTGTTTCTGTTTATAGAAAAGCCAGGGTGCAAGCAGATGTTGCCCTTGTGCCTCCCTAAACAATTTAATGGCAGCACAAAGCTAGTTGTTTGTGACACTTTAAAGGGGAGGACAACTGTTCGATTACTGCATGACCTGGGAAATGCCCTGTAGGATTCCCCAGCTTGCAGATGTGCACCTGGGTTAGGATGCTGCAGTGTGAAATGTGTGCCCCAGGAATCCCCTTCAGGGGACTCCTGGAGTAGGTATCTGCAGGCCAGGGACCCCCCATGGTGGTTTCCCCACTTGTGCACCCTCAGTTGGGGCTCAGCAGCATGAAACCCGTGCCCAGGTTGGGCCTCTAAAGCCCTGGGAATGGCAGGGTCCTGACTGTGCAGGACAACAGTCCTGGTGACATCTGTTTGTGCTGTTCAGCAGCTTTGATGGGACACCACCAGCTGATGGGGCAACAAAACAATGGCTATTTGTACCGTAGGTGCACAGAACTTATGCTGATAAAACAGACTGTTAGTACAAAATGAAGTACTTCTTACCTCAAATAGTCTCTGATCAGCATCATCAAAAGGCTTCCCATCAAGCCTATTCAGCACTTGAGCTACGCCTTTAAACAGAGTTGTTAAAAAAAGGTTATAATATATGTATATAAAATTCATCATGCAGAAATTGCTGTCTGTTACCAATAATTAAAATATGTTTTCACTGAAAAACAAAACTTCAAACATTCATGATGGAAAAAATAAACAAATGTTAATATTTGAAACATTGATGATTTATTGTGATTCCTTTATCCAGGGAATATATTACTTTTAGGGATTTTCTTCACTGTGCAAGTGCCATATTTGCTACTTTACACAGTATTGCATATAATGTTTTGCATGGAAGACTAAGGCCCAAATTCAGCAAGGTATTTAAGTTTCTTAAGCAGCTCTCAAACTAGGAGCAGCTATGAAATATCAAGGACTCAAGGACTTCAGGTTATTTATGTAAATTTGCTGAATCAGTGGCTAAAACTTGGCTAAATTACTATGACCTGCATATAAATCCCTTTCCCCCATGACTGTTCCAACTATTTGTTTAGTCACTTAATGCATTAAGCAACTTGAAGGAAAAAAAATCTATTCAAAGCTGCTGGCTCCAAACTAATAATATTGAATTCCTTTGCAAAACTCTCTTCGCAAAACTCTCTTCCTTCTGTTTTACTCATCTACTGCATACCCAAATAAAAATACTGTAATGTTTTCAGTATTTTGCATACAGAATTTTTCTTCAGCTTCTTTTGATGGATATACACTAGGTAAGGGACATAAGCCATATTTTTATAAATTACAATCAGCACATTTACTTTGGTTAAGCAAATACAGAGAACATGATCATATGGTATAAGGAGTTCCCTCTGTGGAGTACACTCCCCAGTGTCATCAACTACGTGTCATAGCATAGGGTTATGTCCTCAACTAGTGTAAATTGTTGTAAGACCATTGACTAACTGAGCTATGACAATTTATACAAGTTGAGGACCTAGCTCAAACTTTTCAAAGAACTACCTTTTTATGTATAAAATCAAGCAGTTGTATGTCTAATCCTGAGAGAAGACAGTGAGGACCTTGTTGGGTTAGACGAGGGGTGATTGGCCACTAGTGCATGGGCCAGATCCAGCCCCCAATGTGGTGTCATTCAGCCTCCAAGAGGATCCCAATAGCTTCTGTATGGAGCCCCATGAGCCATGGCTCTGCTTGCTAGATCTGGCATGCAAGCAATATAGGGCCTGATCCCAGCATGTGGAGGTGGCAGGGGGCTCCTGGAACCCAATATTGGGTAGGCAGAGGCAGCAGAAAGCCCTGTGCTGCCTCCACCCAGCTGGGATGGGCTCCAGCCAGGTGGAAGGGGCCCAGGACCCTCGGGCCTGATCCCAGCACATGGAGCTGACATGGGTGACTGGGGCCAATCCAGGGCAGGCATGGGCAAAGGGGATCTTCATCTGGCTCATGGACTCACCCTGTGCCATTTGTCTGGCCCACAGGGTCAAAACTGTGAGCATGACTGGATAAAATCAATAGCTGCCCAATCTACATGGAAACATGAATGAAAACTGTCAGAAGAACCTACCAGGTTGTCTCTCTTTCACTTTGAGTTTCAGGAAATGGATTATTATTACAAGTAAGATAACAATGAAGAAACTGGAAAGCTTAAAAAAGAAATCCATACAGTATCCAAGTCAAAACATTTCTTCCCCTATACTTAAAATGCATTGTAAGTATTAGGCAGACAAGGTTCTGTGCATGAATCTGGTATCTTTTATTAGACCAACTTAAATAGTTGGAAAATAATTATTAACAAGCAAGCTTTTGGGTTCAAAAACCCTTCATTCTTAACTTAACATATTCAACTGTGGAAAAGAAGGAAAAGGAAAGCAGAATTAAGAAGACAGAATTCAATTTACATTAGCACTATAATGACACAAACAGTTATGAGGAGTATCTTACCAATTATCTGGTGATTGCTGTTCCATATAGGAACACAAAGAACAGACCTTATGTGAAAGCCAGAAATCTGGTCAGCCTAGGGTATAAAAAATGAGAATTTTAGCCATTGATACAGTATCTAGTTAGTTATTTACAGCCTTCTGAAGTTCCAGTAATAAAGTCATAGAGGACTTCAGTATGAAAACATTTACAAATCCACCTGGCTCACATCATGCTGGCCTTTCAAGTAAAAGCTGATGAAGATTATTTGCATGAAAATAGCAAGCAATTTTAATACTAACTACTTGCTGGGAAAAGTTTCTACTTGAACCTTACCAAATATATAAAGAACCCAAAGGCCTTGCCTCAAAAACCTCATGGTATTTGACTACTGATTTGAACCTGCAAGCTGCAAGTAGGAGAGGAACAATATAAAAAACCCTGGCCATATCCTGTTCACTCTCCATTTCAGCATCCACTCTCTGCTACTGTGATGTTAAAATCCATCAAACAGATTTGAAGCAAGGGCCTCTTAAAAAAATTAATCTGAGATTGGCTTTGAAAAACAGCCAAACGCAAAGAGACAATAAAGTAAGAAATGAGCAGGGAACTTTCTGGGAGGAAAAAAGGCAGTTTCAGGAGGAACTGAGGAATATGGTCAAAAGGAGAATCTGAGATTTCCTACATAAATGATACCTGTAACTATAATATCTCCTTCTTGCTTTGAGGTAATAGGCCATGGTATGAAATACTGTGATCTACTTTTAATTCAACTAATTCTTCACTTCCTATGCTTTATTCTTTATAAATATTGGCACAAGATACCTCAAGGTAAGTGATTCTTGAATCTCTGAAGAGAGTTGAGAGAAGGCCAAGAAGAAAGACTTACTCCAGCCAAGACAGAGGCATATCTTACTAAGTGCTATTCTAATATGGCAAAGGTCCAGTGTTTGTAAGTATCTACACATGTGAACTGCTCACTAAAATCAGAAGGAAGTACTACATGAAATTCAGCATAAGACACTGCTCTATTAGACATATGATTTTTGTTAAGAAATGAGTAATTTTATTTAAGTAGATGAAGGAATGTGTGATATATCCTGAACTCAGACTAACAAACTCTAACTAAAAGCAGACTTCAAGCATTCATGGGTTACTATCTAACAATAGGCGTTTTGACATTTTTTGGCATACAATGAAATTACATATCTTTTTTGTATTTTGAAATATTTTGGATATTTATGATCACATATTTACAGAGCTGGGCCAGCCTCGAGCAACTCAGATGGACTCAGCACAGATGAAAATGGGCTTACATAAATATTTCCTTTGCCACAATAGTATTTCCTGGATTATTTTTTTTCTGTATAGTTACTATATTACAGGTAAACACTACTGAGTTCAACTGAGTTATACCAGGCTCCTCCAGCTCTATAAATTTGCTCTCCCACCTTTATAAGCATATGGAATATTTTTATATAAAAGGGTTTCATATTGTTCCAAAAAGCTATATCTCATCTCACATATGTGCAAGATGTAAAACATAGGATTTTTATATAGCAATCATAAATAAGTTATAGATTCATTTTTTTCTGTGAGGTAAATTTGTGTAAGATGAAATTTTATGAGGTCCAGTCCAATATAATGCAAGTTTTCTGCGGAAGGGAAAAGAAGAAAAGAAGACCCTCCTATATTTCATTTGCTATCTGAGTTTTGCAGATCTTGTTTTGATGTAGGTCTTAAAATATTTATTAATAAAATTCTTCAATGAAAAAATGGTTTGACAAACATTTCTTTCAAGATCTAAGTTAGCATAGGGAAGGGTATGTGTGTTTTTGTAAGTGTAGAGGTAGAACAACAAGATAAGTGTTCCGTGTTCTATTTTACTTTAATGAGTGGTGCACCTGATTGTTTTTAATACACCTGATTGTCTGATGTCATTTCCAACAAGTAGTTTTGAAGATTAAATGTTTATGATCATACCAACATATACAATGATTCACAGCAGTCTTTTTCTATGTAAGTCAGGCAGTAACACTTAGTGTCTAGAATTTTAGTAAGTTTGAAACAAATATGGTATGGCTGCATTAGTAATTAGATCATGACATACTGAAAGTGTAACTACAGACACATCAAGGATTTGTGTATTTTACTTCAGCATCTCTCATTGAGATCAAGCATTCCTCAGGCCAGTGGCGGCCTTTGGGTTGTTGGGGCCCTGGGCATGAGAATCATTTGGGGCCCTGTAGAGGTAGGGGTTCACTGATAGAGATTTCTGGGGTCGATACCAATAGCTGATTTTTAAGGAGGCATATTGGCTGATACCAATCTGATTTCTGATACCAGCCCGGCAGCCTGAAGAGCAGTGTCCAGCTGGTACGCCTGTTGTGGTGGAAGGGGAGCGGGGAGGGGAGGGGCATAGGGAAGCAAATCAAGGGCCCCACGGTGAGGGAGGAAGGGGGTCTGGGACAGGGGCTAGGGCAAGTGCTGCCCAGCCAGGGTGGGACAGGCATGGGACAGAGCTCATCTGGGGGACGTGGGTGGGAGAAGGGGTGGCTCCTGCTGTTGCACACTGCTCTTCCAGGAGCCGCTTGTCCAGTGGCTCGTCTGGCACTTGCCCACTGGTTTGGTGGCTCTGCCGTTGCTCCTGCTGCTCGTGGAAGAGGGCATGGCGGAGGGGTCATGTGCCCCCAGATCTGCACAGGGTGGGTGGTGCTGCGCTTGGGGCAGGAAGCAGTGGTGCTGGGAGCGGGGCTACAAAGGGAGGCTGCAGCCACCCCAAAATTCACTGTAGCCCCCCATAGCCTCCCTCCCAGCACCCCTGCCACATACTCCAAGTGCAGCCCCGTGCAGCCCTGGCCCTGCGCACATCCAGGAGCACACACCCCCACCCATGCCCTCCTAGATGAGGGGCAGGAACAGCAGCAGGAGTCGCCCTGCCCCCCTCCCCACACCCCTGGATGAGCTGCGGCTCCATCCCGTGCCTGCTCTGCCCTGACTGGGCAGCGCTTGCCCCAACCCCTGTCCCAGCTCCACTCCCTCCCACACCATGGGGGACCTTGATCTGCCCTCCCACACTCCTTCCCTCTCCCCTCTCCTTTCACCACAACAGACTTACCAGGTGGATACTACTCTTCAAGCTGCCAGGCTGTGCTTCTCACCACCTATGTGCTGCGCTGTGGCTGTGCATGCACGGGCCATTTATCGGCCAAATTATTGGCCATATCAGGCCGATTTCCAACACATACTATTTTATTTATATTAGTGCTGATCCAATATCAGACTGATGTATCGGTGCACCTCTACTTAGAGGCTTAATTTTGATGACCTATAAGCAAGTCGGACATTTTCGATTTCAATTTTACTTTGCCCTATCCATAAAACTGCAATGAAAGTATCTGAATACAATATTGATAATACACATATTCACTATAATTAATTTTTATTTTTATAAAGTGTGGGGCCCCTGGCAGTCGCCTGGTTTGCCCTTCCCTAAGGCTGTTAGTGCTCAGGCCTAAATTGTATTTTCTGAAATTCTGAATAAATTACTTCTTGCAAAGTTCTTCCAGAAGCTACTTCAGCAAGTGCATTTTTAAAATACTCTTTTCTGTTTTGGGTTGGTTTGAGAACTATTCCTTATACTTGAAATAGTATTCCAACATTGATATAATTTCAGAAATCTACATGTGAATAAATACTGAAAAACAAGGTTACAGTATTGTAACTAATCCACTTATAGCACAACTGAAGACACAAACCCAAGCAGGCTTATGTGGCATGGAGATGTAATTCATGGGGCCTAATTCATAGAATCATAGAAAGTTAGGGTTGGAAGGGGCCTCAGGAGGTCACATCTAGTCCAACTCCATGCTCAAAGCAGGACCATCCCCAACTAAATCATCCCAGCCAAGGCTTTGTCTACCCAGGCCTTAAAAAATTCCAAGGATGGAGATTCCACAGCCTTTCTGGGTAACCTGTTCCACTGCTTTACTACCCTCCTAGTGAAAATGTTTTTCCTAATATCCAAGTTAAACTTCCCTTGCTGCAACTTGAGACTGTTGCTCCTTGTTCTGTCACCTGCTACCACTGACAGCAGTCTAGCTCCATCATTTTGAAACCACCCTTCGCATAATTGAAGGCTTCTATTATATTCCCCCTCAGCCATCTCTTCTCCAGACTAAATAAGTCAAGTTCTTCTTGTTGAAGCTCTTCTACTTCATAACAGAAAAGTTTCAGAAGAGGAGCCAGAGTACCAGCTTCACATGACCCATGTGTGTCTGGTGGTTGGGGAAATATTCTAAGAGACAGGAACTGTGAGTTTAAATCTTCTCAGGCAGAGGAGTCATTTAAACCTAGATCCTATGTAAGTCCTCATATCAGTGAACAACTAGAAAAAAGGGTATTGTGTCCTGCCTCTGCTACTCTTCTCAGCAATGGTTTAGGTGCCAGCTGTTGCAAGAGGGTTCAGGGCTGTGAATCCTTGGTGAAGGGAGGTGGAGACAGACACTGAGCTGATCAGCACCATCAAGACTGAGCCACTCTGGGCACACCTGGAAACAGAACTTAAGAGCAACTGAAGAACTAGTAACTGAGAAACCGTCAGCAACCGAGGGTAACTAGTAAGGTCTGTGCCCTGGGCAAACCTGGTGAGCAATCACGTGCCCTCCCAATGGTCCTCTCCCACTGCTGATTTGTGCTCTGGACCAGCCTTTCCCATACCTGTTGGACACTCTCACACCCCCCTAATGGTCCCCTCTGCCTGCTGCAGATACCAGTGCATCTCTCTTTTCTCCCCCTTTACAGAGCCCCAAACCTCCCTGCTCTAGTCCAAGGGCAACTCTTCTCTCTCACTCTTTCTGCTGCCAAAACCTACTTTAGTGACATTTTACAAAGCAAAATTTGGCAGTGGGGGTGTGAGCGAGTGACAGTGTACCTGGGGCATTATGGAAAGTTTTGAGTGGAGAAAAGGGTCAAGATTAATGGTGGGGGAGGTGGCAATACAGTTGCAGGTGAAGGGGACCATTAGAGGAAGGTGAGAGTGCCCACGAGATTTTAAAAAATGCTAAGTAGAGGGAAGGAAGATAGTGGAGGGGACTTGAGAACACTCTTTCTAAGTCAGGGCCTGTGTCCTGCTAGCCCACCGCTGATTATGTTATTGCTGAGGAATTTTAATGTTGGGGAGGTAAATATCTGTGGACTTTATGCACAGGTGGCAGCTGAGTAGTGATTTTTTTAAGATTACAGTTTTGAACCTAAGTGCCTAAGGTTAGGTCTATATCAATCCAGTACAGTGGCAGGCAGAGCCATCCTAAGACATGCTGAGTCAGTCCTGTGAACACTGCCTCCCAAACAGGAAGTCGGGTGGCTACAACACTTGCCAGTGAACTCTCTCAGCATATTTGACTAGCATGCACACAACTGCAGGCAGCATGCACAGTGTTCCAGTACACCACTGCCTGATGCTGTATTGATAAGAATTTATAATTATTGATCATATTAAGGAAGATCCTGTTTACATTCAGTGTGTACAGTCCCAGTTACTCTACAGTCCCAGCTATGATGTCTACATAATAGACATAATATAATAGCTGTCTGTTATGATTCTGCTACTGGGGAACATTAAAAGCTATCAATAGTAGAATTTTCAATACTAATCATTAGCTTTCAGAGATCTCAAAGCACTTTATAAAGGAAAGTATCATATATAGATAGGAAAAATGGAGATAATAGATGAAGCACCATATTTTTCACATACTAGATGCTCCCAAAAAAAAGATGCACTTTGTTTTGGGAAGGCAGAAGGACATTTGTCCAGTCATGGCTGAATGCTGAACGCAGGGTATTCTGACTGCAGCAGTTGTGGCTGCAGGAGTGGTTAACACTGTAGCTCTCACCCTGAAGGGTGAACTCTGCTCCCTCCCTCCCCAAAGCTGCCAGAGGGAGAAGCCTGGTAGCCATTTTACAGCAGTGTCTCTATGCTTGCTTCTGTCACAGAAAAGAAAAATCTGCTTCCCCGCTTAAGATGCACACTCCAATTTTGGATGGCTGCTTTTTGGGTAAAAGGTATGCATCATATGTGAGTAAATACAGTAAATGCCCAAGTACTTAAAGCTTTACTGCTGTTGACAGGCCAAATTAAACAAGTTGAAAAGAAAAACTGTAATTCAAATGTTCTTGTGCTTTATATTCATTTGGACTTGATGATAAAACTGATTTATTATTCTTAACTGCATGAATATGACAGTGTATTTAAATTTTAAAAAAATCTCTTACTTCAGCATCAAAGCGAGGATCCTGATATGCATCACTGATGTTCACTGGAAGACCCGTAGAAGCTACTAGCTCAGCAATGCTATTATTTATTAGCCAGTCAGAATAAGATGATGATTTCTCCATACTGTCTTTGAAACTATCATAAAGGCATAGGAAGAGAGAAAAGAATACAATCAATGTTGCTTGAAGTCCACCACGTATCTCACAGGCATAGTCAAGTTAACATCAAAATTATTTATAAATTAATAATAGCTGATAAAGTCCATCAGCCAAAAGATAAACAGCAACACCAAAAGCACTAGTTTTGATTATACTGTAAACATGTATGGGGCATGTCCTGTAAACCTTTTATTAATACCAGAAAAGCTTATTCACGTGAATATTTTTGCTGGATGACAGTTTTGAAAATCACTGGTAAAACTTCCATTAACTTCACCAGGGCCAGGATTTCACTTCAACTGGACTATTCACGTAAGTGGTACTCATGAGAGATAGGCAAGTGCAGGATCAGGTAACTAAATGATCAGAAATTATTAATTCACAAAACCCCCTGGAAAGGGATCAAATGCAAGGGTTTTTTTTGTAAAAATAAGGACTTAGAAGAATACATAGCAAGAATATAAATCTCAGGTTTTTTTGCAAGACAAGTTAGCCAACTAATTTTCCCCATTAATATGTATACCACAAGTTAATCTATCAACAAAAAGAAAAATATTACTCAAGATTTTTTGAAAGGATGCAACATTATTGGGTTAATTCCACTCCAGCTAGTATTTTAAAAATTCATCAAAACTCAGAGAAAGGAGAAATTTGTTTAACACCATTTCTGCAGAAAACTACTAATAGCTTCCAGCAGGTGTCAAAAAAGATTCCTCATTTTAAATAGATAGTTTTCCAGAGTAAATTGTCAGTTTACAATGTGATGATATATTTCTCACCTACCCCACTGTTTAAAAAAAAACCTATAAAGATTTTGATTAAAGAATAAAATCCCCAGATAAACCCCATTTATGACAGAGTTCAAGTTGAAAGTATATATCAATAATTTACAACAGTATTGCAATTACCCCCCAAAAAACCTAAACCCCAACTTTCTACAACAATTACATTTACAGTTAAGTTTAAGCTTTAAACAAATCAAAACATATCAAGATTAATATGCATAAACAGACACCCAGATAAACTTTACTCTACCCTGTATGATTATTGCATGGCATCAGTACCAATATAACTGATGTATAAAGACAGAACAGATTATTTTCATAATATCTTATTTATGGTATCAGAATTATTGTTGTTTGCGTGCTACATCTTTACAATAACTGGATTTCTCTAAGTTTTACACTTACAAGAACTCGTGTTTTCCTTATTCTTTCAATGTCATTCCTAAGCGGAGGGTATTAGTTCATTATGATTAAATAAAAATGATGCTCAATAAAGAATTCTAAATATACCTGAATCTAGAGTGGAATTCTTTTCTATTTTTTGTGTGGGACCGTGACTCCTAAAACCAGAAAATGGTAAATGAAAATGTTATCGAGTAACTAAAAAATGTACCATTTGCAGATTTCTTGGTTTAAAAATAAAAGGAAACTGGTTACAGTATCTTATTTTTCAGCATTTTTAGTTCAAACTTTTCAATAATTCAACAGACATTTTTTGCAGTTTGCAGTGGCAAAAACTGCAAAATATTAAATCATGTGGAAGGCCACACTTCTTAATTTTAGCCTGCAACCTTGGCCTCTGTTGCGAGGTAAGAAAACATAAAGTAGTCCTTTCAATAAATGAAAGTGTTTGACCAGTAAGAGTGAATTAGGGAAATGATACTCTTTTTTGTGGTTGAATCTCTGCCATTGCTAATATGCCTGCAAAACTGGCAAGAAGAGAACATAAGAATTTAGCATTATGGTTTCAATTTAGCAACTTTGTATATACAAACGTCCCAATGACTGCATAAGCCGTAAGGTCATTATCCTATTTGTCATCAATCAATAGTAAAATTCCCACTGACTCACTAGGGCTAGGGACAGACATTCAAAAAACCTGAGCCTAAATTGATTCAATCTTTGCAGGTTAATCTAACCTGGCTAGGCTAAATCAGTTTTGTAACCAGACAGACATCCCAGAAATGCAGGCATATGCCTGCAGTGGCTAAGGCTAGAAGCTGGGGGGTGCTAGAGCAGCCCTCCCTTCCCTTCCAACAGCCCAGCAGGGAATATTTATCACCCCTAACTCAGTGTTTATCAGCCCATTAAGAAAACAACAGAGGGACATTACCAGCTACCTGCTGATTCTGCCTTTGTCCGGTGTGCCACAGCTGGAAGGTAGCAAGCATGTGGTGTCCTAGCTAATGCTGAGGTGTCTGTGAGGGACAGGGGAATGCCACCTTAGCAGAGAGTGGGGAGGGCAGGTGGGGAGCAGAAGCCAGCCAGACACCTGCAGAGACTGCTGGGGCTGCAGCCAGGGAGCAGAGGGGAGGGGCCAGCCCTGCTGTGGAGCAGACAGCCCTGCCTAGCCCAGGCCAGTGAGCATGTTGGGATGTTGGGGGAGTCTAATTTAATTTAAACCAGCAAGGGGTCTGGAACAGACATTACATAAACTGGTTTGAGCCAAATCAGTTAAGTCTGATACTACATTCAACCAGGTTTATCTCAAACCAATTTCAGCTGTTCTCAAGCTGGTTCATGTGCACCGAACATCTTTTCTGTTATGGGTTTAAACAAGTTTCTGATCACTTAAACTGGTTCATGTGTAATTTCTGTCCCTAGCCTGGGAGTAGTGGCAATGCATACTCAGCAATGTACAGTTATTTGTATGAGCATGTAAATCCTAGTTTTGAAACAACAATGGATTAATTAAAAAACATTAAGAAACATTTTTTACAATAAATAAGTATATTCTAGCTTTCATGGTGATTAGCAGCTTCACGGCAGTGCAGACGAATGAATGAAAAAGAAGAATGCAAAGTATTAGAACACCTGAATGCTTCAGTCAGTGCAGAAAGATTGATTTCATTTGGCTGCACTAGTTTCTACAGACTAATCCAAGGAAGTTGTCCATTTCAAAGAAATCCTAATATTCTTTAAAAAAAATCAGTAAAAGCGTAAATAACAATGATCTGCCCCCCCAAAGGAATGGGGGGGCACAGTGGGGAGGAAAGAAAGGGCAAGTTTGATTACTTCCTTTTGTGTCAGCATTTTTGAGTGAATATAACAAATAAATTATGAAGTATCTGGTTGGACAGAAGCCTAACTCAAATTTAACATGTTGGAGATAAGTGAAACATTCAATTTCACAATTTAAGATTTATTTCTGGGGGCATAACAGTTTGAAAGAAAAAACCTCCGAAGGGCAAGATTGTAATTACTGATGCAGATCCCTTGGCTGTATTTAAAAAAAAAAAATCCGAGAAAAAGAATAACCACAGAACTGGTAGAGATGCAAGAAATATAGTGAAGATTAGAATCTGGATGATATTATTATTATATGAGAAACTGATTAAATCAGTACAAGATTATGAGTGTCAAGCATTTGAAGTGGCAAATAAATTCAAGTTAAAAAAACTAGACATCATTCAGGATGAAGTTTTAGAAGTATGTTACAGGATATAATCTATATCATGAACCAATATTTTACAACTATCCTCTGGAGAGATGTACTCAGATTTAAGAAAGAAGACACTTTAGTATTCAGTTCTGAAATTAATTTAAATTCATGGGGGGGAGTAGTAGATAAGCTGGAGGGTAGGACTAGGATTCAGAGTGACCTAGTCAAATTGGAGGATTGGGCCAAAATGAATCTCATAAGGTTCAACAAGGGCAAGTGCAAAGTCCTCCACTTAGGATGGAACAATCCCATGCACCAGTACAGGCTGGGCAGCAACTCTGCAGATAAGGCCCTGGGGGTTACAGTGGACAATAAACTGAATATAAGCCAGCATTGTGCCCTTGTTGCCAAGAAGGCTAATGGCATATTGGGCTGCATTGGTAGCTGTGTTGCCAGTAGGTCAAGGGAAGTGATTATTCTCCTCTGTTCTGCACTGGTGAGGCCACATGTGGAGTACTGTTTTCAGTTTTGAGACCCCCACTACAGAAAAAATGTGGACAAATTGGAAAGAATCCAGCAGGGGCAACAAAAATGGTGAGGGGGCTGGGGGACATGACTTATGAGGAGAGGCTGAGGGAACTGGGCTTATCTAATCTAGAGAAGAGGAGACTGAGAGGGGATTTAATAGCAGCCTCCAACTACCTGAAAGGGGAGGGGGGTTCAAAAGAGGACGGAGCTAAACTATTCTCAGTGGTGGCACATGACAGAACAAGTAGCAATGGTCTCAAATTGCAGCAAGGGAAGTTTAGCTTGGATATTAGGAATAATTTTCTCACTAGGAGGATAGTAAAACACTGGAACAGGTTTCCAGAGAGGTGGTGGAAGCTCCATCCTTGGATGTTTTCAAAACCTGGCTAGACAAAGCCTGGCTCCTACCCTGGGGGTCTTTAAGAAGAGGCTTGACACTTACCTGGCTGGAGTCAATTTGAGCCCAGTTTTTCTCCTCCCCAGACAGGGGGTCAAACTTGAAGATCTACAAGGTCCCTTCCAACCCTACTTCTATGATTCTATGATATGATCTAGTCGGGGATGGTCCTGCTTCGAACAGGGGGTGGACTAGGTGACTTCATGAGGTCCCTTCCAAACCTAGCTTTCTATGATTTTATGATTCAATCCTCAGCTTCAGCAGCACAAAACCACTAGGTAGGTACCCTAGAAAAGTATGACCACCAATCCACCCTGAAATCCTTGACAACAAAACTGGATTGGTTGTTAATTTTATCCCACTCTTACCCACTCTTACTATGGAGGGACAGACATGGGAACTGCCAGAAACAAGACTGAGAACATGAGCTACCGTTGCAAGCTCATGGTGCATTATAGGACTGTTACAGCCAACATAACTCATAGCAACCTTTAGCCTGTGCAAAATCATACCACAAGCCATTTCAGCGCTTAGGATCAAAGGAGCACAAGGATGCCTTAAAACATTTATACTGCACTTAAAAGTGTGACTGCAGCATGTAAGGGAATGCACAAGGTGCTTTAATCTAGCTAGCTTTGATATCAGTGAAACAAAATGGCTGCCTCAAAGACTCCAGTACATACCATTCAAGCTTGTCTGAGATCCTGATTATTTACACAAGCAACTAGACTATGCTAATGCATTTTCTCTGCTTTTTATACCCAAGCTAGATCAGACATATCAGAAGTCACTGTCCTCTCATCCCAGTTGCACCAAATACTACGTATCAAAGATGAGGATTCAGTCCTCAGGACTTTTCAGATATAATTAGAGAATCACAAATGAAAGAAAATACTGGTATGATATTTTTGTGAAAGGGGAATATATTAAGAAAGGTCTGATACTTCATTCTTAAAACACAAGTTATAATTTTTCAAAATGAGTATGAATCTATCGTTATGATTATTTAGGCAAAGGAGGGCAAAGAAACAAATCAAATGTCAATTTCTCTTAAAACTTAGAAAGCAAATTTATCAGAATTTGGAAAGCTGAATTATCCCAAGAGTTTACTCCTTCTCTTCTTCTTCCTCCTCACACCCTTTGCTTTGTCTTTCAGTTAGAGTTTCTAACTAGACCTGTCCTCAGCCTACATTCTGCTCGGCTTCCTACTACAGCTTCAAAGAAATGGTACTGATCCTCACTGGGGTCATAATGAAGGACCCGATCTTGCAGCTTTTATTCAGCTGAAATATCCAGTGATTCTAATTCAGCAGGAGTTTTGCATGAATATAGTCTGTAGAATCTAGTCTGAAAAGGACAAAAGTCATTGGAAATAATTTTCAAATGTCAAATGCTTCAGGCATTGTTTTGTATCCTGGCTAACCTTTATTTTCTTATTGTAGTTCAAATAGCCAGACTAATGCATGTGCTAGGATTATTGTGCAGATCAGAATATGATAGACTGAGTGCTAGTCTAAAAGTGACCTTTGTATACCCAACTGGGCTCTCCAAGCAGGTGAGATGGAAGAAAAGCAACACTGTTCTTCATATCAAAGATAAAGGACCAGAGATACGTGGGCATATACCATTATATCTATCGAAAAATCTGATACGGTTCAGGCATGGAAGTATTCACATATCTAATAAAATTAAAATGAAACCCATCTTGGCTAGGCCACATGACAATTTTTCTGGTTTGGTAATTTTTTCAACAGAAATTCCAGGAATTTACATCATATCTTTGAAGTAAAATCTTATCTGTTTTATATGTACCAATAAAAACACAAAATAATTTTGGGGATATCCCTTGATCTTCCTTTTGCCCCCTGGGGAAAATTCCTTGGGACATGAGACAAAATGCCACATGGGTGGAACACCTTCCTCTATGAGCACAGGACTAACTTTATACACAAATGTGCCTGTCTGAACTGTAATTTTGTGGCACTACCACAAACAGAAACCTCATCCCACATTTCCCGGTACTATATGCCTTGACAAATGAGGTCTCCCTCCCAGTTAATTCTCTCAGGAAAAAACCCAAACAAACTGGTATAATGAGTTTCCTGATCAAAAGTAATGATTTACAATTCCAATATGCACTAGGAGGTCAAAAGTTTATACCTTAATAACCTCAACTTTACCTAGATTCTTATCAGTCATTTCCCTTCTACTCCTTACCTCACCTGTCCCACTTCTCTTGGTTGGGAGACAGGGCACAAAAGTGGAATTTGGGAGACCTGGATTCTTTTCCTGGCTTTGCTTCTGCCTATTTTTGTCTTACTTGTACAAGTCCCTGCTCCTTAGGCTCTCCCTCTGCTACCTACCTTTGCAAAGCACTTCGAGATCTACAAAGATTTAAATATTATTTAAATGGTATAACCTATAATGCATTTAATCACCATAGTAATTAGCTATGGTAGCTCCCCTTACATTTTTGAAAGTGATGAAGTACAGCTTTAAGAAATGTAGATTTTTGTTTACTGCATATTTTAAAGGCTGGTTTAAAAGGCCACAGTTACAGCTGGTAAATTACAAAATTCTCTGCCTGTCTGACAGATTACTGAAATTTAGGTTTAACATTTGCATTTTATTTGCATCATTTTAATTTCAAAATCAGAATAAACTGCTTGTTTATTCTTTCCCTTGTAATTTATAGGAAAGGTTTAATTTTCAAGCTGAGCTATAATGTCAAGGAAAAATCTTTCAGCACCACCCCTGTATTTTCATTAATTTAGTATCTGGGTACCTTTAGGTGACTAAACACCACTCACAAGGACCACTACAGGACTGGTTCCTAGGAAAGCAGGCCAATAACAAGAAACATCTGTTTGCACTCCTGTGTCCAATCTATTATATTATCAAGGTCAGATTTACAGGCAATTATCTGTCTTGATAATTTTAGAAATGTAGTTATGTTTAAAAAACTTGTGTAAGTTTGGATGAACTCTCACCTAGCATTCAAGCATACTAATTTAACATTTGACTAGTCCCCATTTCCAGAGGTTGGTCCCCCTTTGAAAACAGATAGAGAATCAAAACCCATTGGACAGTCTGACAGTCAAATCTTTGACAGTATTGCAAAGAAATATTTTATGCCCCATGAATTAAAACAAATCTGAAAAAATACCACGAATATATAAAAAAGTTACTTTTTATTTTTATACTTACCAAGCAAAGCAAAATGTGTATAATTGTAAATAGTGTAATATTCTTTATGAGCAATAATAGGTCATCAGATCTTTCCTGCTTCCTCTGCAGTTTACATTTACATAAAGGTAGTAAGTGAATGTGGAGTTTTATTCAAGCAATACTCCCTTTGAAAGAAATGGGAGTTCTGCCTGAGTAAAAAGTGCAGGGTCAGGCTCTTTTCATATTAAGTAATGTCCAATATTATATAAAAGTCTACTTAGCTTTAACAGACCAAAGCTACAAAAACATTAATCCACTACCACAGAAGACACAAGTTCTAACCTGTTCTCAGTATCAGCACTGCATTTTGGAGACATCAGCTCAAATGATTTTGTAAATTTCACCACCTGTTATAAAAATATATATTAATTTATTCTACTGGAATATATCATCTTATATTTTAACAATATTTTTACAGTCACCTTAGACTAAATGTTCAATGTAAAATACACACATAAACTATTCACATATTCCAAACTATACATTGTAAATCACAGAAAAGCAACTATAATAATTGATATTTTCTTAATATTCCTTTTACAAGCTATATTTTTCTCTTACGACATGTTTTTTACCATCCTACTCTTTCTGGAAGTAGGGCACAGTCCAGAGACTATTTGCTTGAGTAGGCTCAACACTTCAAAGAGCTAATATACATAAAGACAGTCAGTTCCCTTAATTAAATAAAAAGGTGAACATCCTTAAAGAAGGATTCATTTCCATGATTCATCCAAATGTTCATTCAAAGGATTTGTTCACCATTTAGTCCAGAACAATCAAATGTAAATTCAGGAATGGCTGGCTGGGTTTCAGTACTGCAGGAAAGGGTCTGGAGTTATTGTGGGCCACAAACTGCATGAGTGAATAGTATATTTCTCTTGCAAACATCCCAATAGCATACTGGGTTTCATTAACAGAAATGCAGTGTGCTAGTCAAGGGAAATGATTCTTTCACTCAATTCAGCACTGGTGAGACCTCACCTGGAGTCATGTGTCCAGTTTTGGGAACTACACTTCAGGAAAGACATAGATAAATTAAAAAGAGCACAATCAAAGTGATCAGACATTCTAGAAAAGATAATTTATAGGGAAATGTTGGAAGAACTGGGAAAGATGTGTGTGTTGAAGGAAAAGATTTGATAACTCTTCAAATACAGGAACAGTGGTTATTCAAGAGGATGATGATGAACTATACCTTGACCAGACAGAACAGGACAAGCAGTAACAATCTTAAATTGCAACAAAGGAAACATAGATTGAATATTAGGAAGAATTTCTAACTATGAGGGAGGTTAAGTATTGGAACAGGTTACCTGGAGAGGGTGTGAAATTTCTATCCTTGGAAGTTTTAAGGACCAGGCCAGACAAACACATTTGTCTGGATTGGTTTAGACAGGGATGATGCTTCCCTGAGCACAGGGTTGGACTAAATGACCTTCTGAGGTCCCCTCTAGCCCTATCTACAGGTTTGAAATAGTGCAAGAAACCAAATTCTTGATAAGGACTTCTACATTATTAACATGGCTTTGTTGCAGAGCAATTATTCTCTAGTCAGAGGGACAGAATATCCCCCATTACATCATCCTTTCTTGGTATTTGAACCACAGATAAACTCCACTGGGAACCTTGTGGACAGAAAAGAGGAAGGCAAATGAGAACAAGGGTGGAATATCTCTACAGATCAGGGATGCAGAAGCATGCCCCTGCTACAAATCTGGGGCAGAAAACCTGGAAATTAATTATTGAGTCTTGTTTGAGAGAAACTTTTTCTCCATGCAAAAGCCTCTGCTAAGCCCAGGTACTCAGGCAGATTTTAGAGGTGAGAGAGGGTTGCCATCGAGCATAAGGGATCACTCAGACAAATTTTACCCTATGACAATACTGAAGTGCCACAGAGCAAAGCCAGATTCTCTTGGTTGCTTTGCAACACTCCAGCAGAACAACATGGTCAAATTCTGATCTGAGACAGCCAGTAGAGAATTCCCATTGCATAGGGAAGAAAGCTTTTCCCTTCAAGTGCTTTCTTGGGTCAAGAAACATATTTTCTTCTTCCGTTACGGATCAGAGGTTTTTTGCATGGATAAACTTAAGCTCCACATACAACTGAAAAAATACGGGAGTGTTCCAATAATGGTGAAAATTGCTTTCCCTGTGCAATGCCAGAGCTACCTTCTATCATAAAAGCTAAACAGACTAGATATTTGTATTCATATGTCTTTTATTTTTCACTGGATTTTCTATTGCCTGAGAGACCAATTAATTGGTCAAAATAACAAGAAGTCTGGTCTTTTCACAATATTTCCACATGTGGAAACTAAGACTAGTTCTCTTGTTACTTTAGTCTCCTAAATGGTTCCCTATAGTATTAAAAAAACTTATTAACAGTGTGAGCATAAAAATACAAATTCTAGATCCTACATATATCTCCATCAATAGTATGTTCAGGAAGAGCCACATTCTGCAAGGAAATAAGCAACAAAGACAGTTGAGGAAGCTCAGCATATTACAGATTTAGCCCCTAACAGCAGATTTCACTTGCCATCAATTAGCTGCATGTTGGTTAATTAAGCATTAAAAGGTGCTGGTTCTACTTTTCCTTTCACTTACACCACAATAACTCCTCATTTCTCCTCAAAAGAGAATCAGGAATATGTATATATTAAAAGAACAGAATGGTCTGCTTGGAAATCCTTGGCAAATTTATTTGCTGTTATTTTGGAGGGACCAGATTTGTGTTTAATAGTAATTTTCACACTGAACCAAAATGTTATATATTTGAATAAAAAATCATAAAGATTCAGACAGATATCTGTGAACTTACATTTGAACAAAATAAAAGACGCAGAAGAAAAAAAACCTGTAAAAATACCTCTGTAGTTATTCTGTTTGCTGACACTGCATAAAGGAAAAACTAGATTCTAAAAACTGCATATAAAGGAACTGGGTTATGGGTCTTTGGAACTGATTCTATATAATGAAGTTGTTTTTAAGAACCTACCAGCAGGTAAGATGTTACATGACAATTTTAGCAGCAAGTTTTAGGAAGATGATACTAAAAAACAAGAGTGTCCCCCTAAAATATGAGTGCCGTGTGGGGAAAAAGAATACATAAAAATTCTTTTTTCCTTTTTTTTACTAGGCACTGAAAAGTAGCACTTTCCTTCACAGTTACATGATCCCCTAGATGCTCTATAAACCCTGTTCCATTCACACAGGCAAGAGGACCATACAACTTAAGGTGGATCACTTTTTGTATCATCAATTCCATCAGGAACTTGTGAGTCCAGTTTGTGCCATCAGGTGACCAGAAGACACTTTGAAAGAAATATCAATAAAAAAATAAAGTGCATATCACTTCAAGTAGGAACTATGGGCATGTCCCCACAAGTGGAAATGTGTGTTTCCCCAGGGACAAACAGCAGTAACACAATGTATGCTGCTGCTACTTGTCCTTGGGGAACATCTGTGCCACGTGCACTCTGGTGTGCAGCACTGTGCTGTGGGTGGAGCAGCTTAAACTGGGGTCTTGGGGGCCTCCAGAACCTGCAGCCCTGGCACTCCTGCAGAGAGGAGCTTGGATGGCAGCTGAAGTGTGGCTCCTATTGGCCATCTCCAGTTTTGGGCGGTGTGTGCTGCCACCATGTGTGTCACCCCACATATTTTAGGCATGGGTTTTTTTGACCCGGGGAACAAAAAGCCACTCTGCACTGCAAATTAGTAGTGTGGGAAATGCCTGCATGTGCGGTGTGCAGAGCCACAAGTGGGTAGGTGGTGCCACATGATGCATGTCCACACTTGCCTGGATGCACCCTCTATATTAAAAATAATTCTCTGCAAAGTAGTTACATGTTATATGCAACAGTTTCAGGTCAATAGAAAGAGACATTACATGACTCATGTATTAGACCTTTAATAAAATTTGAAGGACCACTTACTGGTGATTCAATGTCCTCCAGAAGTAACACTGAGCAGCGTTCACACTTCAACAGAGTCTGGGCCCGGTGCATGATTTTCTTGACAATTTTCTCTAAGTCTGTCTGTTCCTCAAAGAGATCATTAACCACCTCCAGCAAAGCCTGCATAAGATGTATGTATATATATTTTGTTATATAAATATTTATCTATTTATTTGTAAAGATATGCAATCTTGCTGATCTCAGTTACAATAAAGTAAATCAAGAATAATTCCTAAGTCTTCATTTAAACAAAATTCCCACTGACTTCTGTGTCAGCTGACTTAGTGGAAATTTTTCCTATGGAAGGAATGAGTAAGAACTACTCATTTTGCCTTAATGGTACAATCCAACTTCAGTTAAGCCAATGGGAATTTTTCCTTTTATTTCAATGGATATTGGATGGGCTCCAAAGGGAGATCATCTTAAGGTTTCACAAGAATGTTCATACTACACAGTCCTTCAAGGCAGTATGGAAAACTCTTTTAATAAAAAGTGCACAGATGCTAAAGTTTGGTTTAGTTTCATTTGACTGAAGTTTGCTTTCTAATATCTGATGATGACCTTAAAACAGTACTCCTGGCTCTCTGGCTTTTTTCATTTATTTTAAAATATATATTACATTTTCAGAGTTAAAGAGAAAAAGTATGTAAACAATTTTATCTAACTGACCCTAAATTCAACTAACATTTAACATTGATAAAATACAATGTGAACACTTTTTTTCAAATCAAAAACAGGTATAAAACATCAGACAAATAAAACAATTCCACATATACCCTGAGGCTAAGGGGATATCTGAAGGTTCCCTGAAAGATAAAAATCCCATCAGGCTAGATGCTCAGCTTGCATAAATTGGAACAGCTCCCTTGAGGATACAGTGTGCTAATTTATACCCTCTGAAGATATTCTACCCCATCAGGTTTGTGCCTATTTTCTTCATTATGAGGCTTAAAAGATTAATTATTTTAAGATCTTTCAGATCCAAGTACCTTTATACCAATTTTGCTAAAATTGATCATTTACCAATTTCAGAGAATGTGTGTGTGTGTAAAGTGTATCCATATTACTAAACTTAAAAAATATTAGCTGTCAGAACCCTGCTAATGAGAAAGTCAGGTCTAAAAGGAGAAAATCTTGATTTTCATAGGTTACAGTTCAAACCATTCACATGTCTCTGTGTTAGCTGATTTAGAGACTGCTCTGTCTTGCCAAATCAAATTAAGGAGGTCTATATTTGCAAGACAAATTGGATTATTTTCCATATAAAAAATAACAAAACAGTCAATTTGACAATAGGGATGATTGCTTGAATGCCTATGAAATGTTTTGTTAGGCAACCTTTACTTTAAATAGCACATACAGCTTGAGCTAGAAGCAAAACAAAAAAACGGCCCTCAAATTTCACCCAATTTAAATGGGGTATCCTATGGAATGGACTGCCTTGAAGAAAGTAAATAGGTAATAATATCAATCTATCAACATTTTACATATAATAACAAGGAATCTTCATTTTCTCTGTTTAAAAATCCCAGATTCTGTGATTAAAAACTGCAAAATCCATGTTCTTGCACAATTAAAATGGAACATCACTATATATATATACATAGAGAGAGAGAGAGAGAGAGAGAGAGAGAGATCAATCGAACACAATGTTTTATTGATATATTTACAATTTTCAAGCAGTTTGGAAGCCTACCAGTGCCTCAATCACTATGATAAAATAAATTCTAAATACCCATAAATTTTGGTATTTGATTTTGTTTTTTATCATGGAAATGCAGAGCTCCCCCTGCCCCCTTTGCTTGCAGAACGCAGGTCCAAGCACCTAACTCTCTACCAGTGTTCCCTCTAAGGTGCGCGCATGCGCAGCCGCACACAATTAAAAATCTTGCTGTGCACAAACTTTTTTCTGCCATGCACTCACCCACAGAGGAGCTGAGCATGCAGTGCAGTGGAGGCACTGGGGCCAGCGTGGGACACTTAGGTAAGCTCCTCAATACAGGGCAGGCAGCAGCTCCTCCCTGAGACAGGGCAGGGGCTGGGGACTGGCACAGGCTCCACCGGCTCCAGAGAACTGCTCTGCACCCCCACACAGCCTCGGGGAGTGAGGAGGCACGCGGGGTTAGGGCTGGAGAGCGAAGCAGTTCCCTGGAGCCGGCGGAGCCCACAGAACACCGCTCACTAGCTACTGATTGAAAAATATTGAGCTCTACAGCAAGCTATTAGGGAAACAGAAGCCCTAACAGACTGCTAAATGGAACAGATAAATGTTTGGCTGCTGGTTATATTTTAGTCTTGACAAAAAATACTTCTCTTCAAAATCATTGTCTGTTCCTCACATCATAGATTCTCTTTGGCACTTTACCCCATTTTAGGGGGAGGAGGGGAGAGGGAAAACACTGTGCCGTAGCAAGGTGGGGACAAGCAGGACAATTGGCCTGGGTATTGAAGTGAAGGGGTGCTAATAGGCATTGCCCAGCCAGTGTGGGGCATGGGATGGAGCCGTGAGCAACTCATTTGCGGGGCATGGGGATGCGGAGGGGGCGGCTCCCACTGCTGCATGCATGGGCAAGCATGGGGGGGAACTGCTCCGTGGGCTCCACCAGCTCTGAAGCGGCACGCTTACGGACCACTACTCCTTAGAGGGAACATTGCTGTCTACCCACAAGCCCCTGACCCTGATGGTGCCCCTCGCTCCCCCCTTTCACAGCCCCCCAACCCTGATGGTTCCCCTTGCCCCCCACCTACAACCCCCTGCTCCCCAAGGCCTGCCAGAGGAGGCCCCCAGCTGCCAGAGCAATGGGGCCAGGGACCCAGGTCCACAGGCCCCTGTTCCCCACAGCAGTGCCTGAGCCCCACCTGCTGCAGCCTGAGTGGGGAGCAGAGCACAGAGCCTGGTTCCCTCCCAACTTCGGGGGCCGCACAGATCCATGCATGGGGTGGGGATGGATGTGGGGGTGGGCTACCCACTGTGGGCTCATGCTCCCCACCCTGCTGCCCTCCTCCATGGCCTCTCCAGCCCAATAAGTAGGACATGGTACAACAGGGCAGAGTGGGGCTGGGTGGGGAACCTGCTTGCCACTGTGAGCTCCACACTGCGCTAGCAACGTGACGCCTGCCTGCCCTGCAGCAGCGAGGGGAACAACCCTGCACTGCTGCCCCTGCTGCTGCTGGGAAGGCAGGGGATGCCTTGCCAGAGAAACATGAGGCTTGCAGAGGCAAGTAGGTTCTCCACCTGGCCCCACTCTGCCCTGCTGCACCAGGTCCCATCTGTTGGGCTGCAGAGGGCCTGGGGGAGGGCAGCAGGCAGCCCACCCATGCACTTGCCCCATGCAGAGATCTGTGGGACACAGGTCCCCCTGCCCTGCCTGGGAGTTCACACAGTTGCAGGGAGCCAGCTGTCCCTCTCCTACCCCCCACTGATGAGCTGCCCACACCCCTGTTCTCTCCTTGCTGGGGCCCTGCAGCCACGCATTCTGGCCCCAGGCCTCAAGCCTCACACGCTGCCCAGCTGGGCAGCAGCCCCAGGCCTATCCCCTTATCCCTGGCCCCAGGAGCTTCCTTAATTGTTCC